CGGGCCTCCGCCCGGGCCCCCTCCGGGGTCGTTCAAGCCATCGCCGTCGCGGTCCGAGTCGTCATCCCCGCCATCGTCTGCAACAATCACACAACCTCATTTAATTTTCAATGCACTTTTTACGAGTTCTCTACCGCCAGCAACGCGAGAATCTTGGTAAATCAGGCTGGTTTGGGTGCTTCTCCGTGCTTCTTCTCAAAGGTAAAGTGGGTGGTTTGGTATGGTTCGGAACTGGTTTTTGTTAGGCCTAGAAGCCAATGGAACTCGAAATTACTGGAAAGTAGGGTTCGAGCTTCTACTTGCTGTTCATTGCGCCGTTTAAGTTCGTCGACATTCACACTCAAAAGCATGTAACACTTCTCTGAGGAAAAAACAAATGATTTCTTAGGGATCGTCCAGATAGTACGCTCCTATTCCTCAGATTGATTCGATCATTCGCCACATTTCGAGTCGAGAGCTCGGCGCCTGCGAGACTCGGGGTAGGCCCTCCCGCAGTACACGCATGCTCTACAGGCAAAATGTTGCCTACCTATCAGGCGCTATGAGACCTTACATTGGCTGAACTTTTACGGAACTACGGAACAGAAGATAACGGACTTTCTGGGTGGTCCCACCACTATAAGGGCGATAATGTACGCCGAAGAACGTCTTAATTTCGCAACTTAAAACTAATTTTGTGTTCTACGCCACTTCGTCGTTATTTATGTTTTTCTTCAGAGTACAGGTTTCAGAGCGCAGTCAGGTCGCCTAAACCAACGCCAGCAACACTTACATTATCGAACACAAAACAGAATCCATTCTCTTTAACTCGTTACGATGAATTCTCGAAACGATGTACCATTTTTTCCGTTTCCCCTATTCTTATTGTACCGAAAAGGTGAGGGAGAAGGAAGGGAAGCACGAGTCATTGGGCAATTTGGCCGGAACCACCGCCGCGTGCGTCCCACACGACTGAGCCCGCCGCTCCCCGGATGCGGTCGAGGCAATGTATGTGTGTGTGTGTGTGTGTGTGAGAGAGAGAGAGAGAATAAGAACAAGAAGAAGGGGGGGGGGGAGATGGAACTGTCTTTAGCGCCTAACAGAGACAGTGTGACTCAAGCAGAGGAGCACACGTCTAAAAAATTTTCTTGCATTTCAAGACTCGGTCTTGGATGCTTATTGGCGTTCTCCATAAGATCCAAGACATAGACTTGAAATTCAAGAACCTTTTTTTTTT